GTGATCGGCTTTGCCTTCTAGTGACGGGCGGGAGGAAATCACCAGTCCACCACTTGTTTCCTTTGTGCTTCTATTTTTTTTCTTGTTTCCTTTTTCTTCTCTTTTAAAAAAAAAGTTTTGGTTTTTCTTTGTAAATTTTCTTGCCTTTGTGTAGTTGTTTTCCACTTTTCTTTTTTCTTTTCCCCCTTTCTCTTCTTTCGTATTTTTTTTTCTTTGCCTTTGTCTTGTTTCATTTTTCTTCTTTCTTTTTCTATTACGTTTTCTTTCTTCTTCTTCTTTTTCTCCTTTCTCTTTGTCCTTTTTCTTTTACTTTTTTACCCGTTCTCCTTCCCCCCCTTTCCTTTTCCCTTTTTCCTTTCCCTCTTTTTATATTTTAAAATATTTAAAATATACTTAATATTTTTTATAATTTTTAATATTTTTATCTTTATCTTGTTTCTTTTTATCTTATCTTTTTGTCATCTTTTTTCTTGATCATCTTTTTCATCTTTTTCCCTTTCTTTTTATCCTTCTTAATATTTTTCCCTTTCTTTTTTAACTTTTATCTTTTTATCTTTTTTATCTATCTTTTTTTTCTTTCTTTTTATGGTTTTTATCCTTTTTATCTTTTTCACCTTTTTATCTTTTTATCTTATCATCTCTTTTCTATATAATCTTTTCCCCTTTCTTTTTTATCTTTTTTATAATTTTATCTTTTTTATGTTTTTTATCTTTTCATCTTTTCATCTTTTTATCTATTTTTCTTTCTTTTTATGGTTTTTATCCTTTTTAGTCTTTTCATCTTTTTTATCTTTTTATCTTATCATCTCTTTTCTATATCATATTTTTCCCTCTCTTTTTTATCTTTTTTATGATTTTATGTTTTTTGTGGTTTTTTGGTGGTTTTTAATGTTTTTTATCTTCTTTATGTTTTTTATCCTTTTTATCTTTTTATCTTTATTTTTCATCTTTTTTATCTTTGTATCTTTTTATCTTTTTATCTTTTTATATTTTTATCTTTTTATCTATATTTTTTATCTATATTTTTATCTTTTTTTTATCTTTCCCCTTTCTTTTTCCTCCTTTTTCCTTTCCTGGTTTCCCTCTCCCACAATATTAAGCCCCAAACTCTGCTTTTCCCAACGATTCCTCCTCCATTGACTCCTGCTGACCACAGAACCCAGG